CGGCAGCCAAGCGTGTACGACGGTCAAAAAGAGAAGGTGTTGTTTGCGTATTATCAGGTGCCCAGGATGACAAGGTCATAGCCAGGTCTTGCATGTCCTTCTCAGATGAAGGGGGTCTCATTGTTTTGTGTGGGAAACGGAGACGAGGATCAGATACGGAAAATGCAAGAAGGGCGTTTTGTGGGAGCGATGAAGGATTCGAGACGCCCAGTAAAGAGTTCCACGTAGATTCCGGGGTGTTCGATGGTTTACCGTTCCCATTCAACTCGACCGGCCTCAGCACTGCTAGCAGAGCTTCAGTGGAGCCTGGGCCTGTGATATCGATGCTGCCAATTTCGAAACGGAGGTCTTCAATCATCACAGGAGGGTTCTGTTTCTTGGAAACCTCGAGTAGCTCATTCCACAACTGTAAGAATGCAGACGGGTGTACTCTGATAAAAACTTTCTTCTTATCATTTTTGGGGTTTTTGTTTTCAGCAGAGTTGGCATTATCCGCATCAATCATCTCAACGTCTCCCGACTTTTCCTCAGCACATCGAATCAAGGTGACCGGCGCAATAGGCTTCCGTGGCCCATCACGCTCATAAGCCCACACTTGCAAAGTTCTTGTCCCGGCTCTCCACTTCTTGCCTTTTGGGCCCCATGCTTCATTCCCGTCAACGCCGATGGCTCTCAGAGAACATTCTAGTGCGCCTTCCGTTCCCTCCAGCTGAATGGTGGACATATAGCTCATATCCCATACCACAGCGCCCCTAGCGCCCCTCGCCCGATGGGACGGCCGGTAACTCTTCTCGGTCGGCGACAAAGGAATGGCGAATCGCCACAAAGGATCTTTAGACGTAGTCATGTGGGCTCGTTTTGCGTGAAACATGTGCGTAGGGAGCCACGTCTTGCATCTTTGGCGCTTCTTGAATTTGGAATCTGGTGGGGGTGGACGCGAGAGCTTATTTTTCTTGATCTTAGGGACACGCGGGGCAATATCAAAGGAGTGGCTGCCCGCCTCTTCCAGCGACTTCTGGTTCTCTTTATCACGCTTCGCTTTCGAGTGAGCTCTCTTGGCTTTGGTCTTTGAATTGAGGTTTTGGAGACGTCTGGCGGTTTCGAGACGGATGCGCATGGCCTCTGTTGGTTTCCTCCGACGTGCCGTCACGGTTGGTGTGTTATCTTCCATCATCTATTCAGGCCATAGGTTGTTTAGCAAGATTTTCCACATAGCTTAGCCTAAGCGCTCACTGGGCCCTGTTTATGAAGCAACCAGAAATGTTTCTAGCGTACCTCTCTCTTTGCCCTTGCCCTCAACCTACTTGGCACCCTCTTCACATTGTGACTGGCCGTTCTCCTCCTCAACGATCGAGGTACTTGCTGGAAGGCGCGACTCGTCAGGGCAGCTTTTGATCGCTGCATGCCCGACTCCAGGGCACGAATTTCGAATTCACGAGCTTCGAGATACGCGGCAACATCGAGTTCTCCGGAAGCAGAAAGGGCAGATTCGGCGGACTGTGCGGCGAGTGTGCGGGCATCGAACGTTTTGGCGCGCTTCCGAGCTGCTGCGGAGCCATTTTGTGCTCCTTGGTGAGCGGACTTGCGCTTCGAAGCAGGGTTGAGGGCCATTGTGGCCAATTGAGACGTCGGGGAACGGGCAGACAAAAGGTATGAAAGGTATCCGATAACAAAGACCAATTCTGGCTGAATTATAGTGCAGTGGCATTAAATGTGGTCTGAAATTAAAATTCCATATAGGAAAAGCGGTGCTCGGAAAGCTTTAGCGCGTCACTCTTCCCGGCCGAAAGCCACACAACCTAAGGTACCACACCAATGATAGACGGCTAAGAGGGGAAAAGATGCGATTACAACGTAGATCTTTGGAGACCGGGGTAACAGAGCTAATTCGTACTACGCGATAAAAGGTTATTGGTTGACATCATACTACGACCAAAGAATGTTCACGATTTCATAGCTTCGTTATCTATTGTATCTCTAAAGTGGGCTGTCTAATTTTTTTTAAAAAAAAAAAAAAAAAACCATTAACCCCACTGCTGGAACGTCAGCATCCTCTATTAGTCCCACGTCATAGTCCTTGTTCCTGTTGATGTATTTACAGGTGCTTGATGACGGTCTCAGCCCTCGAGAACTGCGATGAAAGTGAGTATGTGTTCAATTAAACGGTCCAAGCGTTGTAGTCCATGGTAACTTACCTCGAGGTGGTTCTTGGCAGGCTCAAGAGCAGCGTAGGTGACCTTGCCGTGGTCAATGACGATGGCGTAGCGCTTGGTGCGGCCCTCATCATCGGCCCAGCCGAGGCTCTTGGAGAACTTAGCATCGGGGTCGGAAAGGAAGAGCTAGAAGGTCAGTCAGCAGAAACTCGAAAAGCTAAGTGTGCTATAGGTAAGCAACATACGATGTCGTCGTTCTTAACACCGTTGGCCTTGGCCCAGGCGCTCATGACGTAGGCATCGTTGTAAGCAAGGACAGCAACAACGTCGACACCCTTCTCACGGATCTCAGGGAGTTTCTCCTTGTACTCGGGGACGTGGTTCGCAGAGCAGACGGGAGTGAAGGCACCGGGAAGAGCGAAGAGGATGACCTTCTTGTCGGCCCACTCCTTGGAGGCGTTGTAGTTGATGGGGATACCGCAAGCGTTGAACTCCTGAGCCTCGGGGGTGTAGGGGATGTAGCTTTGGTAGAAGGTTAGTATTAACACAAGAAGGTTCAAAGGGTGGGTTTAGGAGCTTACGAGAAGACAACGTCGGAGGGGAAGCTGTCACCGGCCTTGATTCCAGACATTTTTATTGGATTGGTATGTTAGATTGGGTTGGAAGAGAAAAGAATAATTGGTTGTGGATGGGAAAGGGTGTTTATTTATGTATTGTGGGTGAAGTGGAAAGTCAAAAGGGAAGAGCGAAGGGCAGGAGCATGTGGCGGTTAATATATGGTTGATTCCCTCTCGGAGATCGCGTCCCACGGGCCGTAAGAGACAGACACACCTAAGGTGATCCAAACCAGAAAGATACCGAATCCTTTCGATTGGTGAGGGCTTAGGTGTGCTGTATTATCAAGAAGACCGCCCGAGACTGAAATGCCCCGCCATGTCCCCCCACCACCCTTTCACTCATGGTTACCAAGGTACGTAGTCCGTAGTACTAGTCCGACGAACCTTTTTCACTCGCCCAGTGAAGTCATTCCGGGCCCGCCGTACAGAGAAAGTGAATTGCCATCCTTTATGCAATGTATCTTACTTAATCCTTACTGTACCTCAATCCCATATCCTCAATGATGGCGTTATGGACTCTTGAGATGAGGATTGTTCGTGTCCCAATGGCGAGAAAGGTGGATCTAGCAGACCAATATTGAGCCAATCACGGCTATATCCCGAATGCATAGCAACCACTGGGCTTCGGTAGCCTTTTTCCTTATCTAATTTCTCTCTGGCGTGTTTTGTTCCGAGACGGTTATTGTACTCCGTATGGCCCAATTGAAAAAAAAAAAAAAAAAAAAAAAAAAAAAAAAAAAAAAGGGACCTTGATAGTAGTATCTCCGACTTTCACCGCCTACCGTCGACCCCTCGCTTACACGTGACTAATGTATATACGGACAGTGGCGTGGCCATACTATTTTGGGAGGGAAAAAAAAAGGTGAAGAGAGAGAAATGCTATGTCATAGAACGTTCAGTTTTTATTTTCTTTGGCTCATAAAGAATCCAGGACAAAACTGGGTCTGGTACATAGTAAACTAAGTTCGGCTATCTTGCCACTCGGACCTGAACAACGTCGGAGCGAGCATCCGAGAGACGGGAACCATACGGAGAAAGAAAGATCTGATAAGATTTGTCCTGTTACTCGAAGTTCCATCAGAGGGAGGCTTTGTCTGGTAGAAGTCGGTTATCCGCCGCCTTCAAGCACCAATCTGTAGGGATGCCGAAATTCAGGTAACCTCTCAGGACTCCAAACCCCAGGGCTTACATAAGGAATAGGTCTAGGTCTGGGCAAAGGATAACTACTAGTAACTAGACGAGTTCCCGATTACATATCAGTAAGGTTCTAGAAGCAATACACCCCCTTATCTGGGCACGCTGAGCCAATAATTTGTCAATTGTTTCACGACCTTGAATATTATTAAGCCACCGGGAACTTAAAGGGGAATACCCACATTCTGGTAAGGCTGTATCTTTTCATGAGTTTTTGTGAAGTTCAGGCATGTTTGCTTATACATGCCATTCTTGTAAGATGCTCTCATGAGCTTGGTGTCTAACACGATAATAATTTTCTCAATATATCTTTGATGCTTCGTGACTAAAATCCTAAACACTGCTGCAGTCCGTGGACACGGATATGAATATATATATAGATATGCACCGTCTCCGACACAGATACCAACTCACCAGAGATGCAAATGAAGCTCTGAACCCACAGCAGTACTATATATCTATAACAACCCACTTTTCATCCAACGTGGATGGATTTTAGGCCACCAGCCCTCTGGTACGCACTCTTGCGACATGCTATCAAGAACATGTTGAATCCCGGCATAGGTACTTTATGATTTACCTCACAGAATTGAGTACCTAAACTCGAAGCCAACAAAAGGGGCTACCTGTATATTTAGATATATAAATTAATAAAAGGATGTATTGGTGCATAAAAGTCAAAATGAACGTGCTGCTGCTTCGGAAGCTCTTACAGATGAAGCCTACTATGATGTCATATGGCAAAAGATACCTCTATAAATAGAGTAGCTTTCTATGTACTGGGTACTTGCCTTATACCTCGTCTGTGAGCCTGATCTACTTGGGAACCACTGCGGTAGTTTCAGATTGTAGTAGAGTGGTTTTGATGTCGACTACGCTTTAAATCCCGAAGTCTATGTATCGGCCGAAAGGTGTCAAAGTGCAACCCCATAGCTTTAATTGAACGTACCTAAGATAAGACTAAAAGATAACTTGCATAAGGCTGACACGTGACAAGGCTTATATACATGTCCCACATCACTTACTAACGTCTTACTGTGACTCAATCTGATATGCGTGTACATTGGTGAAATAGGATTCATACACTGTTGGGGTCGTGCGTTGGATCAATATGGCAGATACCAATCCACCGTTTACTGAGGAGTCGGCGAGAAAAAAGGTCAAAGCAGCACAGAATCTGTGGAATACCCAGTACGTATACTCTACCTTGAGCTCGAACAGCAACCATCCCCCTAGCCCTTCGTGCTTGGCCTTAAATGTAGGGATTTCATAGCATTTCATCCCATGCTTCTGGCACGAGGGGCTATAGTTATCCCCCCATGCCATAGTTTTGGTGTTTCATCCCTTGCTCGCAGTTATGCGACCACCTCGTGGCCAAAGTCATCTGTCCCCACTTCATTTGCATCGTTCTTTCTCCTTCATACACTCTTTCAAGTTTCAGTTGCATTGGCATAGTTTGCTATGTCGAAAAACCTGTTATACTCTACTTACAATATGTGAACTAGAGATCCAGTACGTGTCGCTCAAGCCTATACACCAGATTGCGTTTGGCGCAATCGTACTTCATTCTTTTCCGGGACGGATAACATAATCCCTTTCTTAACTGCGAAATGGAATCGTGAAGCAAATTACAGGCTTCGAAAAGAGTTGTTTTCCTTCTCTGACGACCGTATCGCGGTGCAATTCTGGTATGAATACCAAGATGTTCAAGATGGGATGCGCTGGAAGCGCTGCTATGGCCTCGAGGACTGGACATTTGACCGAGAAACGGGGAAGATGAGGAAAAGGATGATGAGTGGTAATGACCTGGTTTTGGGGCCTGATGGGAACGGGGAAGGGAGGTGGTTTGTCGATGGTGTTGATGTTGAAGATGTGGTGATTAGTGAGGAACATTGGTGACGAGCTTATTCGACCACACCAGTTCTTATTGCACGATTCGACTTAACTGTTGTGCAATTTTGCAAAAGTGACATGCCAAGTCAATTATGACACCGGCCTTCCATAATCTCCGACTGTTTGGCATATTGATTTATACTGCCAAGTTCTGGCTCATCCCTTAAGATCGAAGCTAGTTCACCTATCATTTAGGTGAATCTTCCCTGATCGCCAAGAAGAACCCAGCTTAGCTTTGATCGATCTCTGGGAAATTATCTGCACGTGACGAGCATGCGTGGACTGTCTCGTTCGCGATATCAGGATACTAGTCTTTTTAGCTGAATGTCCCTCCTTCATCCCTTGATTCAGAGCCCCTCCCCCCCTTCCCAACCCTAATACTGATCTTTTGCCATCAAGGATGTTGTTGTGTAAAACAAGAAAAGAATAGTAGGAGGAATAAAAGGAAAGGGACAGATGTTGAGGTCTTTGCAAGATAATGCTTTTACTGCCGAGAATCTGCAGCGCTTCTGAAAAGCCCAAAGGGAGGAATGTAGACAGGCTGGAACAAAGCCAGCCACTGTGTAGCCTCTCAGTATCGGCGAATGTACCTTATGACTGAGGGCACGAGGATATCCCTGGTGGAGACTTCTGTATGCTACTGGGAGCAAGGGGTGCGGTAGCTGTCGAAGTACTACCGCTGTTCACCTTTTCAAGTCCATCATGGTTCGGTATTGCAACTGAATTGGGCTCGAGTACATCTGAAACTTCTAGAGTTAAACATTGAACAATATAGACTTTTGTAGGATGATAGAATTCGAGTCGAGCATGTTACGCTCTGAAATTGGGAATTAGGGAGGGTTAATGTTGTACATTCCAGAGGATGATATCGACTGATACCGGGGAGACCTGAAGAATCCAAAGGAAACAAACACTTCAACGCTCATTCCACGTACCGACATTGACCTCAACATGGTATGCTCTAACCCAACTAGCGTGCCGTGTCTGCTATGGGCGGAGATTGAGTATGCTCCCTGGAACATTTGCGCTTGGGATCACTCTGGCGCGTTGAAGACTGTCTGTTATCCTTCTCTGGTACTCTCCGAATCGTGAAGACAACAACAGCCCAAAAGCATACTACCGTCGACCCGTGTCGCAATATACCCCCCGCTCCTTATTTGTGCACTCGCTGATACGTATCTGTTTCACGGCTTTGCGATGAACTAATCGTAAAGCGACTCAAAAGCATAACTCGCAAACTCGCTCTTCTACTTTGTTAAACGGGAGTTCCTGGAGGGAACAGGTACAGTTATTGCCTGTCACTTCTTACATCGCTTTCTGAAAGTCGCGTTAATCAAAGGTAAGCCGAAGGCGCCTATGTATAGTCGGAAACCTGACTTGGAGTCACTCTCTAACGATGTACCGTCTTATCGAAGATAATTTCCACATGTGGCCTGACTGTGGCTTTACCCACCTGTCGTGTTAGCCTGAGGTTACATGGCAATGGAACAAAAGGCTGTCCCTCTTGGTCCGGAGTCCGTACGCGCGCCGCTTGTCGATGTTAGCAACAGAGTCAACAATTGCCCGAGCCCAAGTTTGGTGCAAGGGGAAGAATCAATGGGAGATCCTCATTATTTGAGCTCGCCACAACCAATGTCTATTGTGACTAGTCCACCCGAGCAAAAAAGATATGTAGATAACAACTGTCTTTCGCCTACGGCGAACCCGAAAACTTCATCTAAGCGAGACTCAACCCTGTCAGCGAACTCAGTTATTTCGAACCAGGGAAAGCGGAAAACACATATCGGGCCATGGCAACTTGGGAAGAATCTTGGGGAAGGCACAACAGGTCGGGTGCGACTAGCGAAGCATAAGTATACTGGACAAACTGCTGCAATTAAGATAGTGTCGAAGACATCTGCGGCGATGACCCAGAGTGTCAGTATTGCAGCAATGGACCGGAATAGAGGACTTCGAGGTAAATCGGGGACCAGACAAATGCCATCTGGAATCGAGCGGGAGGTCGTCATCATGAAACTTATTGAACATCCAAACGTCGTCCGTTTGTACGATGTGTGGGAGAATAGAGGTGAAATGTAGGTGGGCCTTGAGGATTCGATCATAGCAGTACTAACATTCAACAGATATCTTGTACTCGAATACGTTGAGGGCGGGGAGTTGTTCCACTACATAACAAAAAATGGACCACTTCAGGAATTCGAAGCAGTCAAGTTATTCCGACAGATACTTGCTGGCCTTGGATACTGTCATCGCTTCGGTATCTGCCACCGAGATTTGAAGCCGGAAAATATTCTTTTGGATTCGCAGGGCAACGTGAAACTTGCTGACTTTGGAATGGCGGCCCTTCAACCGGCGGGTTATTGGCTTAAAACATCATGCGGAAGTCCGCATTATGCTGCCCCGGAAATCATTAGAGGTGAAAACTACCACGGCGATAAGGCTGATCTATGGAGCTGTGGTATAATCCTATTTGCTCTGCTGACCAGTTATTTGCCATTTGACGACCAGGACGACATCAGAAACACATTAAAACTGGTGAAAACAGCCAAGGTCGAGATCCCATCAGATGTGAGTGCCGAAGCGGCGGATCTCATTCACAAGATCCTCCAGAAAAAGCCAGAAAAACGAATTGCTATGGCGGATGTTTGGAAGCATCCTCTCTTGAGGAGATATGAATGCTTGGACCCAGTAATGTCTAATCCTTATATAGGTCCTGCACCTTCGTGGTCTGTGCAGGAGTGTGGAGCGCGCATTGGCAGACATGAACTTGAGTCGGAAAGTGATATATTAAGGAACCTTCAAACATTATGGCACGACGTAAAAAGGGAGGTCTTGATTGAAAGGCTATTGGATCCAGAGTAAGTTCGGTTCGCTACGATGTAGCTCCACTCTACTGCTTGATCGGTGCATGTAGGAAATTTTAATATTGACAACCCCTACAATAGACCGACACTTGAGAGAATGTTTTACAATGCTCTAGTCAGGTTTAGAGATGAGCATTTGGAGAACTGGCCAGGCCAGTCTCTTGAGTACTCAGCCAGTGATTATCACCACATGTCCAGGGATTCAAGTGGGACGTTCAGCCAACGGGATAATGGCCGCTCAAGAGGATCTCGACGACGTGGCCAAGTCCCCATGGGTAAAGCCGCTCAATTAAGACGCAGTGCTTTTCAAGAGCCAAAATCCTGCGCAACCGTCGGCAGCTATGATCCCTTCCGTTCACCATGTCATGTTGTGTCCGAAAAAGAAGGATATACCCATATCACATCCCATAGGGACGTTCCGGACAATGCAGGCAAAAGGAAAGAATCGGATGCAATTGCAGAGGCAAGCGCCATATCTGAAGGAGACTCTGGGAATCAAACCCCATGCCCTCCGAGCTCCCCTTTTGCGATTGTACAGAACAAGAAAAAGCCGAGCTCTCTGAAGTCTTTCCACTCAAGAACCTCACATATTGGGAACCGACGACAACTTAACGGTATGACGGCGCCTCGTTCTGCAAGCTACAAGCGAAATGTTTGTTTCCGCCACGTGCGAAACCGTTCGCAAGGCTCGACAACTGCAATGAAAACGAAGGGTGCCCCAGTAAATGTCCCAGATAAAGACATGAGCGAGAATAGCCTGGTGTCCATAGACGCTGGCCCCTTTGCTGATCAGGAAAGCAGCCCACTATTGCCTGCCCAACCAGCTGTGGTCCGAAGGCCCGGTGTTGCCCTGAGGACGTGCGCACCTCAAAAGAAGGTGCGCGAGTCAGATTTCATTTGGAAGGATGATGCACGCCAGGTCTCGCATGAGCTTAGCCAAATCTGCGAGGAGGCCTTTAATCGCGCCTCATTATCAACAGGCTGCACAACAACAAGTACATGCATGAGCGCAGAGACCCCCGCAACGTCCGTGTCAATGGCCAGTCCTGAAGCATCACATAGTCGTATCGCTACTAGCAATCCAAAAGCGCCGGTGACACCTCCACGCTGTGGAGAGTCCCCAAGATCTTGTACTGCTGCTGAATTGGCTGAAACGCGACGCAAACTCATTGCCTATTCCACTCAGGATGGCACAGAGGGTGTTCCTGAATACCTTGTAGGTGTGATCAAACATCTTGACCGTCTAATCGAGAAGGACAAGGAGCGGCAGTGTGAGCGGTTTATAACTCCTGAAGATGCTAGTGGACCAGCTGCACAACCTAGCGTATCGCCCCAGGATGCCGGTGGCCTGCCAAAAATATCAGAAGAGCTCCACAACCGACAAAGCAATGGTGAAAAACAATACAAGCCTTATCGACCTGGTCTAACAACGAGCACTGGCAACTACACAGGTCGCCTTAGTCGGAATGGCATAGGAACCATCCGAATGGTCCCTCAAAGTTCTGTGCCTTCCTTAGAAACTATTCAACCTCTGACAATCCGCAAGAAAAGCGAAGATCCCTCCCCTAATGATAATCACGGTCCATTTGCGGACGGCTCCAACGAGGACAATCTTGCACCATGCAGATATTCTTCCATGAACTCCTTCCATTCCCACCGTCCTTGTGAGCTTGACCCTATCGCAGAAATCCCGCCAAAGTCAGAGAAGCGGAACGCAGCGCGATATCCCGACAACAAGAAGTGGTCGTGGTTACCTATCAAGTACCAACCACCCATAGAAACTGCATGCAAGAATCTGAAACCGCTACACCCAGTCGACAGAACTGTCACTGTGCATGAGGTAAACCCCTCTACAGATAATTCAACCAATCAGTCGGAGACACCAGCAGGGAAGAGCAAAGGAGGCTTCTTCAGGAAGTTCATGAAGGGGAAAGCAAGTAATCGCAAGCACCCTACAATAGGTCAGTACCATCGAACCAATACCGCATGAGCCTCGTCTGACAAACCTGTACCAGACTCCCAAACCACAGAAACAACACCCATACTCAACAAGTCCACAGAACATACTCGCTTGGTAAACGCCGACAAACCCCTCCCCAAAAGACCTGGTGCCTCACGCAAGCCCGTGAATTGGTTTGCACGTATGTTCTATTTCACCCCTGCCACCAAGGCCGTCGCCCTCAACACCTCAAAATTGAAAGGCAGAAAGGAAGTGCACAAGATCCTCCGGGAATGGAAGCCCTTTGGAGTGAATGTCCATTACGACAAAGCCGACGGCATAATCCATGGTAAAGTCTCCAGTTCCAATTGTAAGTCAAGAACATCATACCTATGCACACTATTCCAGTATCCTAACTATTATTCAGTGGGTCGCATCCGCCCTGTTGCATTTTCCGCTGAGTTCTACACCGTCCTCGAAGACGGCCGACGAGGCAACCTCAGTCTGGTACGATTCAAACAAGAACGAGGCGCAGTCTCATCCTTCAACCAGGTCATCGATACTCTCAAATTTTACATGAAGCAACGCGGGCTGCTAGTCGAAGACCCAGTTCGTGCACAGCAGATGATGAAGGTTCTTGATAAATACCAAAATCCTCAAGGTGAATGAAATGAGTCGAGTTACTAGCATTCAACGTTCTATCTTCCCATGAAATCTGTTTACTTCTATACCCCCAACAACTTCTACCAACAAGAAAGGTACAGAAGCACGAAATATTTGTTCTACTAATACCCTATTCACATTTTTTCCATCTTATACTCCCGAAGTTGGGATCGGTTTTGTTTGCATTTGTGGTATCATCTTTTGATCTGAATTTTGTATTACTGGATGGCGTCCGGCCTCTCTTTTTCTATCCTGATGTGTGTATGTTTCTGTATCATCCATTTTCTCTCTTTTACGTACCGGTATGCCCTTGTCTGTTCACTCCAACTCATCGAAAGCCCATTCTTTATACTCGCAACAATCTCCTATGTCATACATCACATTCGTTCAACACTGGTCTCAACCTAAACCCGGAATACACATCTCGTCGTCTCATTTGCAATTTCTCGACAAATGTCCCTCCTTCATTTTCATGTAGTCTGGCCCCTTCATACACAAAGCAAAACAACTCATCTGTTCTGTCCCGAGGTCCGCCAGTTCCAGGATACCTACCATTCGTTTATCTTCCATACTTGGCTTACAGGAAGCGTCTTGCAATATGTTAGGTAGGAATTAACTTAGATAGGAATAAATCAATTGATATCTTCATGATTACTGTCTCCAAGGTAGATTAATGGAATGGTATGGGTGTCATTGGATTGCAGTAAGACCGGTATTCGCATAGAACGATCATACTATAAGCAATCTAAATCCCTGAGTCAAATGGTGGAAGATGTACAAACGCTACTCTAATGGCACAAAGATACTATTAACTTTATAAGTACTTGCCTTGTACTAGAATTCAAGAAAGAAATAGACTCATAAGACCATAGCATTCGAAGGAAAAGTATGCACAATGCAATATAAAAACCAAAATCAACAAGTGAGCATTGGAATCTGCGAGTCATAAAAAGATAAAAACAAAAATTGATCAGACAGCCTCCCAAGTAACACAAAACAGGTTATGACGGCAAATAGAAAGACGGCGGTAAAACAATATAAAAAGATGACCTCCTTTTTCGCAATGGCAAATACCTTGATCACAAATAACAAGCAAATCGCAAACAAGCCGCGAAAATGGAACATATCATGAAAATACGACAGAGAGCCACCCGAAATGTATAGGAACACTGAGAAAGATGAAACAACTACCGCTAGAAAAAAGAATCGAAAATGGTCCATCAAAAGAAAAAGACGAGAGAGGTAAATGTAGCAAAATCCCACACCATGATTGGTTCCGTGATAATCGACGCTGAGAGGTATCCATGTCCAATGCATACAACACTTATTCTCTTTATCCTGCCTGAGCCATACTCGCCGATTTGGGTTACTGATCCAGATCTGTTCGCATACACAGGGATAATAAACTTTCTAGGATGTACCAGAAAATTCGGTGCGCAGATTATGGATTATCAGACATTGCCTGTCAAGCCGGACCCAACAACATCTCAAGTACCGACTCGGTCAAACAGAGCAATCCGGAAATGAGGGCTAAAATGTTTGCAACGGCGCAAAGTAACCCAAAACCGCAGTGATATGGAAGACTGGATGTCCGAGAGAAAACAAAACGGAGATAATGACAGAAAGAAAATTCCATTAGTGGGTTGCCCCAGATAGTTTATAAAGCCGTGATGTTGTATTTCGCAAAGGGAAATTTAGGTGATAAATAAAAGAATTGCGAGTTATCGATTGTCAAGTGTGAGGCCCGTCCGATTGAATCCGCAAAACTGACAATCCGCACTACCTCATTGGCAGTCATTGATGACCGACAACTCCCTATACAGATCGTGCAGCTCATAACACTCTTGCATCTCGTTTCCATGGCTTCGTAGCAGTCGAAAAATTGTTGTTATTTGTTGTTTTTCTTTTTTTTTTCTTCTCAAATATTCCATCCACTAAGAGGTATCGTTACCACTTCCTTCTTGCGAACGACGTTTTCAGCCTTCGTCATCGCCGTGGCTTCAAGTCGAACATCCACCCGGGTATTTGTCATAATCTTCTGTCGTCGCCGTATGCTGCCTTATCCTGTCATCGGTATGGGAGGAAACAGGAGTACGCTTCGTTCTCGCATTGTCATGATACCTCTCTTGCTTTGATTTTGATGTTCCCCATCTTTCCTTCCCCATAGCAAACGGCACAGTTGTGCCTTCCAAATCAAGGAATGTTTGCATGTGAAATGTGGAGGACCGTGTGGCCAGCACACACAACCTTCCGCGTCAACCACCAACGAAACTGAATTCGGTATCTGCAGCTCCATCCCCGTCTATTCGCACCAACATTTACTCATCTACCCCAGCTCCCACCCAGACCATCACCGCATTGCAGGAGTCTCGAGAATGTGTCATGGTGGGCTTACTGATTCAAGCCCCGCCGGTTTAGGGCATTCAGCATATCACTGTCAGTGCTGGAACGACCCTGGCTGTCTCCTGGATTCAACATGTCACGAACATTCAGGCCACCACGAGACGAGCCACCAGGAGTAGAAGTGGGTGGGGGAGTCATCGCGCTTTGACCAGGGTGCATAGGAGGATAGGGTGAATTGTGGGGAGACGAAGAGTGGCGATTATCGTAAGGATACGCCGACTGCGGAGAAGGACGTCGATCATGCTGAGCTGGGGGTGGATAGTATGGACTTGAGGCAGAATGCGCTTGATATCCTGGAGCAGATGTTGCCGGCGTTACGGGTGCCAGATTGGTTGGATCAGGATACTCGAATCCAGAACCGGAGCCGCGACGGCCAATAGGTCTCTGTTCACAAAGGGACCGATGAGTAAGGGTATCTTTTACGGCGGAGAGGGATGACTTGGGACTTACAGGATCTTGAGAGACGGATGAGAGGGGTGGAGGTGCGCTATAGGGATACATTCCCTGTGGCGGGGGAAGTGTGGCATCCGGTGGAGCTTGAGGTTGTTGTTGAGGTGGTAAAGGCTGACCATGAGCGCCGTAAAGCATTACCGGGGCACCACCACGTGGTTGGTTCTGTGCGTTTCTCAGGTGTGGGTAGGCAGCATGTGCAGGAACAAAAGCTTGCGCCTGGGAGGAAACTGGTGTGAACATGCACTCTTGGTTGAAGCGGATACAGTTACTGCAACGCCCATCCTGAGAACTTTCGAATCCCGAGCACCTAATCTATTTACCGTTAAATCCACCGTCAGCTCACAACTGTCTACTCAAGAACCGGACAATATAGCTCAAAGCCCAATACTGTAGAAGCATACCTTCCGTCTCCGGCAGTAACGACAAGCGATAGCTGTCCGCTGTCGTGGAGCGGCAGCTTGGTAAACCACTTGGGGCGGTGCTTGAGCATAAACATCTGGGGGGCGATAAGCACCAGGGGGCGGTGGAAGGCGGTAGGGGTCTTGCGGGCCCTGAACATGCGGGTGAATGGCAGCCATGTTGGGCGGCGGATACTGTGACTGCGGCGGCGGAGGATATTGGTGATCCGCACTCGGTGGAGGGTACGAAGCCGGAGGATACTGGACGCGACCACTGTGTCAGTGACCGCAGACTCAATTGTGGAAGGTAAGAATCGATGGAAACAGGTGAAAAGATGAGGCTCCTAGTGACAGCGAGGGAGGGGGAAGCTGATGTATCACAGCAAAGAGGAAACGGGGGAGCCTGTCGGCGCAAAAAAGGTCAGTGTGGTATAAAAGAGTGAAACATACAGGGTATTGTGAAGCCGGCGGATAATGAGCGGAAGGGTTATCCTCAGGTTGACTAGTGTTCCACTGAGGAGGTGGATACTGTCCCTGTCGATTAGGGTCGCTGAAATCGTGGGGGTTGCTGGACATTTGTAGTCGAGAGCGCGCGAAAGGCTGCTTAAGAAACGGAACGAGACGGGGGTGGGAAAAGGAAAAACAAATGCAGGATGATGTGAGAGTCGAGTCACGTCCCGCGGGTTGTTTGGTCGAAGCTGTTGGCTGAGCAGGGATAGTTGTCCGTATGTATGGGTGTATGTATGGGGTTATTTGTATGTATGTATGTAAAGGAACGGAACGGACGATCGTATGTAAGTATGTATCGGTGTATGTATGTATGGTACGTATGTACGCTGTACGCAGGCCAAGTGTGTCTGTGTGGTGTGCGTGTGGTGTGCGGTGGTGCGTGAGAAAAAGTGCAAGGCGACCAGGATTGGAGAGATGCGGAGTCCAAGCCGGTCAGAAAAGCAGTCCAAATCAAAACAGTTCCAGCTCCCGTCGGGTGATTTGCAAGGCTAGCATAGCCTCGTGGTCACGCTGGAACCAGACGGGGAAGTAATAAGGAAAGATGAGGGCCTAATCCACAGAGGGAAGAGGAAGCCGAAGAGGAAACGCGGGATAAGAACGAAGAACAGGGGGTGGGAGGCGAGAGGCGGTGGAGAGCCACCAGGCAAAAGAGGGAAAAAAAAAAAAAAAAAAAGGAAAAAAAAAAAAAAAAAAAAGGAAGAGCCTCTACTGATTTCCAGTGATTCCAGGTATGATGTGAGTGTTGATGCTTCCTTTTATTCCCTTCTGGTTCAGCAAATGATGGTCCCGTATAAAGTAGGTTGGGAGGCACAAGAAAGAAAATACGATAGTAGTAGAAGTGGACTCAGGCGGGTTAACAGATGAAAGAATAAAAACGACGAGGGCCGCAAACCCACTAGAAAAAGCAAAGTCACTGCTCGGGCAGTAGGTCCTAGTAAGTAGCGTTAGGTAGTAGGAATCAGCAAGCACAGGAATAGTATCCCTATAAGCCTAACAGTAGCGTCTATGCACTGTATCAGTATATCAAACACCACAACCACAGTTGCGAGATGAGCTGGGCCAACTTGCCGGCAGGGGGCACTATGATATTGGAATTTATTCCACCTTTTCTGTTATTATTCTTTTTATTTTATTATTTTTCTCCTTGCCAAAGAAAATAAGAAGAAGAGGAAGAAGAAGAAAAATAAAAATAATAAAAGGCGTGTGCACAAACGGGGATTTCAAGGTAGTAAATAGTTTCTGCAGGGGGAATTCCGCAAAGGTGTGCTTAGGGAAGCAGGAAGTCTTAGGGAGTTTTTCTTGAGGGAGCTTACCACAAGGTAGTGCCGGTGGATGACCTCTATGGAATTGAATCACAGTAAGAAGTAGAAGAAATGTAGGAGAGCTACAAAGTATCCTTTTTCACACTTTGTCTTTTTATGGGAAGAAGCAAAGCCCACTGAGAAATAACACCAATAACAAAAATTAAAACAAAATTAAGGGAGAAATAGAGTAAGTGGTGACCGAGGAAGCGAAGAACGAGATGCAATCGAACAAACAGTTCTTACTCCATAGATAGTTCGAAAACAGACGAATGACGAAGACGGAAGGGACTCAAGCCTTCACTGCCCTTCTATTTTTCTTTTTCTTTGCTTTTTATTTTCGATAATCCTAGTCATATTATTATTTCTACAATAAAATACGAATACTGCCACTCTCATCTAAACGACTGGCCACGTAGTAGCTGCCTACTTCGTAACAAGATCATGAAGACCAATAGGTCAGGAAATATTGATACTATAAGACTGGTTCTTTGGGTCGCCGACTCGCCGGTCCGTCCGGGAGGCAAAAAATAAAGAACAAATCAAAGGAGGGAAACGGTTGGGTCAAGCGCGTCAAAATACACGAGACGCAGGGTGGGAGTTCCACGGCTGGCGGAAAGCGGAAAGGCGGGAAGATTCGCAGATGGAGATCTCAAGGGATGTTGTAACAGGGCAATTCCTTGGGTCGACTGGGTCTTTGGGTATGCTGGAACCTGGAAAATTTGACTGTTTGTCCTATGAAAATTCGTCTTCTTTGAGGTACCACGGACAATTCACTAGTCATTATTCAGGTAAAGAATATTGTTATTGGTCCAAAAAAAATAATAATAATACTAAAAATCATCACCACCACGCGGGTAATTAATTATCGTTGCTGAAATAATTGCCAGATTCCATCGGTAGGCGATGGCCGGGCAGAGAGAGGTTGATGCGATTGGCACAGATGGGGCAATGGATGTTGTGGGCATTATCATCGGCGTCAGCACCAGCTGGGCACTGGAGAAATATAGGTGTAAGCAGGGGGAATAATAAATAATAAAAATTGCTTATACGAATGATATTTCATAGATGAGGTGGTAAAAAAAGAATTACAGTAGCGGTCATGAAAAGAAAACACCGTCGAAGAACGGTCCGCGGACAGGGTGGGGCCCTGACCAACACGCCAGCGACCCATAGACATGGACGGGGGAGTCTCTAAGACGCAGCTAAAGCATTCATGGTTCCATGGAGATCACCTGAATCGCCGTAAGCCCTTCGGGTTGGGCGTTTACCAGACCCCGGCAACCACCCCAGCAGCGACTACTGTAGAGTCTAGAGCCTGAAGAGGGGCGTAAGTTTGCAAGTGACGAGTGATGACGGATGAAGGGTACTCCGGGACGGGTAAAGGCGCCGTGACGGAACTCCACCGACCGCTCCAATTCCTTCCGTCTCCAGTTTGGGCTCTTTTTTTTTCCTCTCTTTTCTTCTTTTTTTTTTTTTTTTTTTTTTTTTTTTTTTTGGCGACTTACAAGGATGATTAAGTTGCTGTCCGAAAGTGGCTTAGGGATACTGGTAATATTACTTACGTCCTACCGGGCTTGAAATGATACATACATATCTAACTCTTAATGGTTGAGATCGATTCATTCGCATATGCTTTATCAGGAACATGTTCTTTGATCATTCTTATTTTAGGTATGGTTTCGTACTCTCTGGCTTTCCATTTTTATCTAAGACAAAAGGAATAGCTGTACAAAGATATGGAGACTAACTTCCAGATGTTTCATCTGACCATTGGCTGAACGGCCTCAGGCTATCCCTTTTCAGGATCTAAGCCGGTGCCCTGTGCTTTGCACTGGTCCCCAGATAGGAACTACTTGCAGTAGTAACTTACGTTCAGGTGTGAGACTAGATACCATGCGTACTCCATCGTGACCTGCAGATAGACGATACAGATTCAGGTCCTCCTAGATGGGTACAGCGGTGTATAGGATATGCATAACTTCAATAATGGATGGAGACCCCCAACGGCGCTACATCCCAATCACCTTCGAAAGTACATACGTAGTACACAGAGGGGCAAGTCTACTTGATCATTAGTTATCAAGATGGGAGGGAAATGTAGACCTACATACATGCTGGGCCCACCCGGGTAATGCCCGAATCCCTAGAAGAGGGGCTGACGGCCCGTGGATGGCAACGAATAATCGTTTAAAGTGTACCAATCGCGGCCTGCAGAAGATTAATCATCCTACCCTTTTTCCGTAGTTATCAAGCCTTCATGAATAAAGAAATTTACCTCAGGTTACACTGCTTACTAGCTGAGGTACTCGGATCACAGCAAACTCGACTCATTGGAGTAAATTCATCTACCAAAGAAAAAATATGTTGGGAATCATATGAAAGCCCTAATTCCACGGGCTCTTCACCAGCTCGTGTCCCTTTGTCCTCCGTCTATCGTTACCGGGCTCATGTTCTTGGGACACACTAGGGATTAAGGGTACCAAGGTTCTCGATACATAGTGAAGAGTTCATTTCTTTTTTTTTTTTTT